CTGTGTGAGTTTTGTATAATAATGCTCTGGATATCTTCAGGTGGCATATGTAGATTCTTTTCCAAACAGCTCAGGACTACCTCGGTTGTGTTTTCTTGATCGACTCTAGGAATACCATAGAATAGCAAATTCATGGGAAGAAATTCTGTGGATTTTCTCCGGTGTTGCTTTAGACTGAATTCAATCAAAGCGCAATTAACGCTAATCTTTATATTACCCATGAGAGTGATGCGAGACAAATGATGGCAGCACTGCTGAGGGAAGGATCCAACATTTTTTCAGATTTAAAATTAAAGCTTTAAAAGAACAATATAAGGCCTTTCATTGGAGGTTGGGGGGGGGGGGGCGTGATTTCAATTTCCTACGTGCTCAATAATAATAATAACGAGTTTAAAATGAAACATATAATTATAGAAAATAAACGAGTAAACGATAAACAAATTCAAATAAAAAGGAAATTAAAATACATGTTTGAGTTTGTAACCCTTATTTTTTTTTTTTTTTTTAGAAAGTATAAGCGTATCACAGGTCACTAATTTTACCCCTTTTCATTGACCACGCAAGTAGTGCCATATAAAAACACTGGTTTTTTCATAAATATGCCTTCGGATGTATACGGGGTGGAACGGGCTGATTTTAGGGCATAGATGGGAAGGAGAGTGTCTGGGGGAAAAGAATTAAAATTTCAAATATTGAGAAATATTGCCTTTGAATGCGTATTAGGAAGGGTTTAAAGGTATCACACCGGTAATTGACCAATCAAAATGAACTTAGTCAATTGTAGTTCCATACATAATAAGGAAATATTTTTTTTATTGTGAGAAATTTTTTAATTTCCCTTATTCTATTTTTACATTTTTGGTATCTGTGCTTAGGATATTTTATGTACTTTGTAAAATATTAAAGGCTTTTGACAGGAACTATTTCTTTCGGGGCATAGGAGGCCACTTCCTGGGGTGCACACAGGATGTTTATAAACACATTGAATACACGTGGTTTTGAGGGTATTCCTGTTTGCGGATGGAAAAAATCAGAAAATGTCGTGTAGGTACCCTATTTTTTGGTGTCAGCTGATGTGACTGGTAACGTTTAACACTTCTTGCTAAATATTTTTTCATGAATTCGAATACCTGATTTTTAATGATTTTTTATTCTATATAGAATTACATAGTGAAAACAATTACCGGTGTGATACCTTAAATAGGCCATGGCGCCACCAAACCGTCGATTTTGAGAAACTTAATTCCTTAATTAACGACTGCGATTGGGACAATTTAATAAACAACGTCCAAGATGTCGACACTGCTACGGAAAACTTTACTTCTCATTTCTTATCGTCTGTACGAAAATGTGTTCCAGAAAAGTCGGTCACTATTCGTCCGAAGGACAAACCGTGGTTTGACTCGGTTCTTAGAAAACATATAATAATACGCAACAGACTACATAAAATAGCAAGAAAAACGAAAAACGAAGCTGATAGGGCTAAATATCGAAAACTCAGAAATCAAGTTAACAACATGAAAAAATACGCGTTATCGAATTATTATGACAATATTGACCTTCAGTTGTCTGATGCGAGTGTTAACAATACTAAATTATACTGGAAGCTGCTGAGAGATGCTTTTCATGTAAAACCAAATAAAGATATCCCACCTATACAATACATTTCTGATAGCGGAGATGAAAATATAGCTTTCCCAGATGAAGATAAGATTGAAGTGTTAAATAAGTATTTTTCTTCTATATCTAATGTCTCACAAAACCAATTACCTGAACTGTATTACTTATGCAATGATACACTGAGTGATATATTAATTACTGAGCAAGAAATTATTGATATAATATCAATATTTCCTGTTAATAAAGCAATAGGTCCTGATGCAATAAGCCACAAAATGTTAAAATCTACTATGTATTCTGTTTCTAAACCGCTATGTTTGTTGTTTAATAAGTCGCTGGCAGAAAATGTATTCCCAGATAAATGGAAACTTGCTCATGTATTACCATTGTTTAAAAAAGATGATCCTTCTGTAGCAACTAATTATAGACCGGTATCATTGTTGAGTTGCGTTAGCAAAATTATGGAAAGAATTATATTTAAACATGTGTACAATTACTTTCATAAAAAAATACCTTATTTTACAAATTTCAAGCAGGTTTTTTTGCCAGGTCACTCAACCGTTTACCAATTACATGAAACTTATCACAGCATTGTTAAGAATATCGATGAAGGAAAATTTTGTTGCATGGTATTTTGCAATCTGTCCAAAGCGTTCGACAGAGTGTGGTATAAAGGTTTACTTTTTAAATTAAAGACATACGGTTTATGTGGTAACATTCTTACCTGGCTTGAGAGTTACTTATGTAATAGAAGGCAGAAAGTTATGTATAAAGATATTGTTTCGTCTAGTAGAAACATTGATGTTGGTGTACCACAAGGATCAGTTCTTGGTCCATTACTTTTTATGATTTATGTGAATGATGTGTCAGAAAACATGATTTCATTATGTAGATTGTTTGCAGATGACAACTCGTTGCAATGTTCCTCATATAATGTTGCAACAACTATTGAATATATCTTGAATCACGATTTAGAAATTCTTGATAGGTGATCTTCCAAATGGCTTATGAAATTCAACCCATCCAAAACAAAAGCATTATTCTTTATATTAAGATCTAATTATTATCTTCCTAAACTTCAATTTCAACGATGTAAATTAGAATACATAACCTCTCATAAACATCTAGGACTACTATTGAGCCAAAATCTCAATTGGTCTGAACATATAGACAATATAGTTAAACAGGCTTACCAAAGATTAGGCCTCCTAAAGAAGCTAAATAAAAATACAACATTGGAAGAAACAAACTATTTAAAATGTACACAAATTTTATTAGACCACTACTTGAATATTGTTCTGTAGTTTGGGATGGATGCTCTCTACAAGATGTTGAAAAATTAGAAAAGGTGCAGCTTTATGCTGCGAGAATAATTACAGGGTTACCCATTATAGCCTCAAGAGATGCATTATATTTAGAAACAGGATGGGAACCTCTCGCAGAGAGGCGTAAAGTAGGAAAACTAAATACCATGTTTAAAGTACATCACAGTTTGGTACCTGATTATTTAAAAAGTATTTTTCCCTCAATAAGGAGTGTTGAATCAAATTACAACACACGTAATCGAGATGACTACACTATTCCTAGATGCAGACTTGAAATATTTAAGAAATCTTTTGTCCCTGATATGGTAAACCAATGGAATAGTTTAAGTATTACCACAAGATACAGCTCAACTTTTAGTAGTTTCAAAAACAAAATACATAAAAAACCAGCAGACCCCCCTCCTTATTTCTGCTATGGTAACAGACGACTTAGTATCATACATACTAAACTACGACACAACTGTATTTTAAATTATGATCTTTATAAAAGAAACATTATTGAGAGTCCTAATTGTTCATGTGGTACACCAGAAGACCCATATCATTTCTTCTTTGTATGTAATAAATATCAACATGCTAGAGAGGAACTATTTAGAAACCTACTGTGTCTTATTAAACCAAACACTAAATTGAATATTATTGATTGTCACCTACTTCTGTGGGGAGATGAGTCACAAAATGTTGAAATCAATAAGTATATTTTTCAATCTGTACAAAAATTTATAAGAGATTCTGGCAGATTCAATTAATTATTACAGCCTTACACTAAAACTCTAGTTAGTTATATATTTATCATGTAATTAATGTATGTTTAAAACAAACATGTTTGTATATCAATATTTTTTTTTCTATACATAGATCTTGACAGTTGTAGCCATTTATGGTGAGAACCTCGTAAGTTGTTAGAACTTGTGTTCAAACCATTTGTATATTATTTATACAATAAAATATGTTCAAACCAAACCAAACCAGTCTTTCAATAAAAAAAATCAGCAAAAGAAACTGTTCTTTGATGAGAACTTAGCTCTAAGTACTGTTATCAGAATATATTCTGTTTATCCGTCCTGGTGCTTATCTGCATCACTCTCAAAATTTACACTCATCAGTCAAACACGAGATTTCTCTCTTTTTCAATCTTTCATATACCCAAACTAGTCCTTGCATAAAATAATAAACAGCAATGAAAAAATTTGTCGAAAAATTCTTCAACATTATTACTGCATCGCCCTTCCCAAAGTGTCCCGCACCGTTTTTTTTTTTATTTATTTCTTTTTTTTATTTTTTTTTTTATTATTATTTATTGTATTAAAAGTCGCTTGGCACTAATTTTAGCACAGGAGCATGTACATGTAGATAGTTATTGCGTATAATACAGGTTGTCGGCGGACTTTATATTATAATCACATCTTTTAGTACTGTTTAGTAAAGGCTAAATTAGACATGTTAGCTATCCATAATTTTCTTCTGGAAGATAGAATTTTACACTGTTTTCATCTCTTAAATAATATTCCATCTTAAGAACAAGGCAGACTAGCTATAAATCTTAAAGCTATATATGGCATATCTGAGCTTGAAAAATAATAATAAGAGACTGAGTGTAAATATACATGATATATGTTATTTACCTGTACGTTCAAATTAAAGTTTTCACCAATTTTGAGCTTGAATACCCTCACGTTTCTATAGTTGAATTGACTTTAAATTTGTCTGTTATTAAAATGTGGAGTTGGTAAATAATCGATTATTGTTTTAAATTTTTAATATCTTTGAAATGCGATTAAATTTTAAATTGTGTAATTTACAAGAAAGTCCTATCTTTATATAAGTAGAAAAACACCGCAATCGTGTCACAATTAAAGTAATAAAACAAATAGAAAGATCATTTTAATTTCGGTTACCTGAACTTATCAAAAAAATATGCCATATATGACTTAAATAGCTTTATACCTCCATTTGGAGAAATAAAACATTTCAGCTGCCCATTATCTACAGAATGACACGTGCTGTTCCAACCAGTTGTTTCTTCTCTAGAGAATGAAATAAAGCTGTTCTTACCTGCTTACTTCCTCCCACTGCTGGATCTGCTAAACTTTGAGCCACCACCTCATTGTAACCTTGAAAGTCAGTCTGAGCTTGTACAGGAGCTGAAGAGGCCACTGCTCCAAACACCAGATGTGGAAACTGTCAAACAAGTTTTGAATGTATGAATTATTTTACTGCTTTGTTGAAATATAAGAGTTTAGAACTGTTCATTCTCTTAATTTTCCTTCCCTTTTTGTGAGGGTTATATCTTAACAAGTAGAGCTTTTTTAAAAAAAAAAAAAAGCTTACCGTCTTTAGCAACAAATTTAAACAGTAAACTGAGCTAATCTATCAGGCCGTATAATTCTTGAAAATTTCTTGATTTTGTATTTCTTCATTAGTTTTTTTCTGACATAAGCCCTACCAAGTGAAGCAAATGAAACGTCAACATATGCTCGGCTGTCTCCGTAAGCTGAGATCATTCGGCAAACCTCGACTGATTCCGTCAACTTTGTGATAATTATGTAGATGAGTACGAATCGGCCGAGGTGTTGTCGAGTGCTGCCGAGATTAGAAAGACAGTGCAAAAAAAGAGGGGGAAAGAATACATACAAGCTGTAAAGCTTGCATACAATAAAGATCAATTTTGTTAACAATGAAAACATAGAAACGCTTTTTGGTAATTGCTATAAAAAATCTAGCATGTTATTTCGAATTGCTGCCAATTTCCATTGTTCGTTTTATCATATTTTTTTACGATTGAAAATCTTGAAAAATTGTTAAGTCGTACGAAAATTAGACCATCAGAAAATTATCTCCCTTGCCTTGAACAGCATTTAAACCAATGAAATAATTGAAAATTTTCTCATCATGCAATTTCTACCAATCACAAAAGAGAGGAAGTGCACAGTCCGAAGACTGTAAAATACTTCAACTCTGTCTACCGTCTTCCAAGGAAGACGGTAACCAAATCTGATGCAAAATGGGGGAGGGGGTGGGGGTGTTGATGCCCGGTTTAAAACAAACAACAGTATACTTTTTATCAATTAAATGATAGATAATTATTGACAAGTCCAACGTACATCATTATTGCCGTATTTAATTAAAATGTAAATAAGATTAAATGTTACGCATGTTTTCATAATATGGAGATGTTCACCTTTAAGCGGAACCATGCAGATAATGCTCCAGGATAACTTCCACCAAAACAGATCCACTTATTATCATTTAACTCGTACCTTGTAGTAATGTAATTATGGACTTTTGTCAAATCAGCTAGCCTACAGAAACACATATGAAACCATATCACTAAACAGAGAGAGTGCCCATCATCAAACATTCTAAATTATTGCAATTATTATCAACTTCATTAAACATAAATAGAGAAGAAGTAACGGAGATTGTTTCTAATGAATAATTTAAACATAAGCTTAATTATATTAAATTGTACATATTGAAATTATAGCTGTTCTATCAAGACACACCCTTGTTGACTGGACAAGTGTTGAAGTTGATCTAGATGTAAACCATCATCGTTGATGCTGTCGCCATAGAAACGGTGCTCAGCAGCCACAACCATGGCACCAAAGAGCTTGGCCATCTGAACATGGTGACCTGAAGTACAGGGAATTATTGTCTAATCTTGTTAGGTTTGTTTGATGAGTCTAATACTGTTTATAGTACAATAATTTTTCAATTATCCTACAATTATCTTAAAAAATATACAGTTGAACTTTGGTATCTCGAACACCGAAAATCATCTCAAAAATCATGGATATCTCGGTCCCATCATAACTAGCATAAGAAGAGTGTATTTGTACATTAAAAATGCATTCACATTAGTGTTTTGTAAAACAGTATAAGAAAAGTATATAAACATTAATGTTTTGTGTACCAGAATAAGCAGATCTGTTTGAAAGTGCTACCTCTCCTCCTATGTACAGGAAAATAGGACCATTGGGTTTGTTCCAGTTCTTTGCATTGATATAAATTTTCTGTTTGTATGTCCTCTGAAAAAAATATCATGCAAACTTATACACTTGTAATGCTTAGGGTATACTGCTAGTAATTCATACTTCCTCAAATGTAATCCATGAACAATATTGCAAAAATTGGTCAAGGACTCAAGGTCAGATGGAGAGAAAATTCTGTGTCTCCGATTAAGGTTAATGGTAAACTACTGTAAATAGACCTAGTTCAGTATATAGTTAAAGTATATCATTGACTGAATAAGCAAGATTCCAGTTCCCCAAGGCCTTTGGTCCAAGATTCATGTCCCGGGGCGAGACTATGTTGGATACATATCGTGTTACACAGAGTACCTTTAAGAAAGTTCTTTATTTCTTATAAACAAGTTGCACGAAAAAATAATTTAAGCTTTATCAATAACTATAATATTTTTTTTTTGTCTACACAGAAAATTTTTTAAATTGTCTAATACTAAATGCAGAGTAATAATATACATGTTTTGATATTAAGAACTTCCCTTTTAATATTAAGAACTTCCTTATTGATATTAACAACTTCCTTATTATATAGCAATGGAAGATACTATCAATTTTTATTTAGATTTAATCCTGCAAATGACCTACATCTTATATATGATGTGTCAGGTTTAAAGTTTTTCAGCTCTCTGTAATTATCATACAAGCGATGGCAAGTTGATCTCACATTATAATCCAAATTTGAATATACACTATATGTGGAATTTTTCATTGGTCAAATGCATCTAAAAAAGGGGAGAGATTTTTAGATGACCTTAAAACAGGGTGGGAATATTAATCTATAAACCCTTGCAGTAAACTTTCTGGTTTATATTGTTTTTGTAGCAGAAAATATATAGTGAACTTATAATGTCACGTTAGTGAGTTAGCTTTTCTAGTGATGCGGTAGAGTTTCCATTGATTTCACATGCCGGTAGAACCCGGGGGGGGGGGCACCTTTTTTCTCAGTATATGTATTTTGCTATAGTAAATTTTCTTTTAGATGCTGGTTGCCCCCCCCCCCCCTTTTTTGGCTGTAAGGTCGGGCACTGGCAAATTCCAGGGTTTGGACAGTTAATTAGGGGTTTGTTTGTTTGTTTGTTTGTTTTTTTGCTTTTCAGATTATTTTGGGAAGTCGCTTTCCCCCCTTTTTTCGTCAAATTACTGTTTTTTTTTTTTTTGCTTGTCATATTTTTTAGAGTTCCCCCCCCCCCCCTTTTGAAACCGTTGCTACGAGCCTGTTTCAGGCGAGCCTGTATAGTCCTTGGGTGTGTGACGGCTGCCATTACAAAATTGAGGGCAGCGTAGTGACTCTGGTGTTTGACGACCTGCTTTAGGAAACCTTAGAGCTAGGACTATCCATTTACAGACTTACAATAGTATCTATAAACGGCATGGGTTACAGATCCACTCGTCACACCTCAGCCGATATTCATGTTTGATGAAGGCTACACAGAATCATACGAAGTTTGCCGTATGGTTACAGATCGACCTGCTTGAGGAAGCCCTGGGGCATTCAGGCAAGTTTAGCTATGAAGAACTGTACATGTATATAGCCCTTGCATGGGTGACCGCTTCACGTTACATTTTTATTAGAGGAACATGACCATGCAAATTTTAAAGGAGACTTACAGAAGAATATGCATCAAAGTGATCCAGTGGTTGAGTCAAAAGAACCTCTTCTATAAACTGACCACTGCCATATAATCTTCTGTAGTCATGTATGGCTGACTTTTCCCGCCGATTTTCCACCAACTCTTTAATTTTCCAGAAACTGTGTCCTTTTAAATAACATGTAATTTATATTTTTTTTTAAATCAGTTGTTAATTTGTAGCTTCAGAAACACCATTCACCCTTTAAAAATGTTAATTTGTTTCATTTGATCATAAGGAACTTTCTAAAAATAAAAATTGAGAACTTCCATCTTTGAAAAACAAAAATTGAAAATTTACATCATTGTTACTGAAACTTTAATCAACGACAGAACAAACTCGTACATAAAATTAAAAAAAATTAAAATGTAGCAAAACAGACTGGTTAAAGAGTATAAATCATTTTCATCCTCAGAGTCCCATCCTTCCAACAATATAATCCCTTTCTATACTGTCAATGTCATATGTATAATATTCCAAACTAATACATGTACTTGTCATCCTTCGGAGATTATTAGACTGATTATGACTGGAGACAATGTAACAATGCCAATAAATCGAATTAATTGCATCCTTAGTTATGAATTGCTAATAGTAAAGATTTTGGAGCAGCTGATGTACTTTATCACATACCTTTCTTGCATACATATGTAAACAGGTGCATGGCCTAAGGAACCTGAAAGAGGGGGTGTGTGTATATTCTGCCGATATATACTCAGTAGTACACTATAGAAAACATTATAGCTACTTTATGCTTGTGCCTTCTCAATAAAAACGTCTGATGACCTCTTTTTTTAAACGAATTTTCTTTGGCTTTTCAAGGAATTTTCGCTTAATTTTGCCCCCCAACCGAATAAGTTTAGTTGTGCCCCCCCCCCTCCTTCAATGAAAATGCTTCCTACGGACCTGACATTATCTAAACATAATCTTTCAAGAATACTACCTGATATTGACGAAATGTCCTTCAGCATAAAATTTACTGTAAACACAAAAATAAAGTACTTCAGGAAAGACATCACATCAATTCAAAAACACTGCTGAAATGGTAGTAGTTTACTACATGTACTTCCTAGATTTCCTTTTCTCATTAAAAACTACAGTAGATCATGCGACTGAAAAAGAATATGCGGAAGTTGCACATGCAGGACTATACTCGGATTTCAAGAAGATCATCGGAGGGAAAGAATGGCCCTCCTGCATGTGTGTGTGTGTGTGTTAAATTTTTCGTTTACAATGTACATGTATATTCCGTTTCAGTAAAGCTTTGATCCTCTATAACCTCCATAACCCCCCTCCCCACACCCTTGGGGCCATGATTTGAATTGAATCTGCACTACCTATATATAAAGATGTTTATATATAAGTATAAGTACCTGTTGTTCTGGAGAAGTTGTAAAACTTTAGTCCTACAATGTACATTTGTATATTGTGGTCTTTCCCGCCGGTGTAACGACGAAAAGTGGCCCCTGTAGAATATTGACCAGGGGGTAAAATTTCTACGTGGAAAAGTGACCCCCGGTCAATATTCTACTGCAAGTAGGGTCATTTTTCGACTGTAGAAAACCCTTCTAGGCCGGTAGTTCTACGACTCCACACACATTAAAAAATGCCCCCATAGAAATCTGACCCCCTACTTTTTAACTACATGTATATTATATAATACAAGTAAAACTTGTCTAATCCGGACGTATAATCCGAAATCTTGCTTAATACGGTGTTAACTTTAAGTCCATTTCAGTAAATTCATTTGTTTTAAGTGTTGTCTAATCCGGAATGTTGTCTAATCCGAAAATATTCTATGGAACCAGTAGTGTCCGGATTAGACATGTTTTACTGTAAAACCTTTGAAATAAAATACGCGTTCATCCCAGGGTTGAAGGGGGAGGGGGGGGGGGGTCGGCGAAGGCGCAGAGATAACTGCGTCTCCTGATTTTTTATACTCTCAAAGGTATGTTGGGGAGCAAAGTACATTCTCCCTCTTTAACACCACTTCCGAATACTATCATCATATACAATATATGTGGTATGTTTTTTGGCTTGCTTCCCATGAGTATATATGTATATTATTGGAGAAGTATAAATATATATCTATCTGGTTTTGTCTGCCGTATAGTCCAATGTCTTTTGTGCGACGTACATCGATCGTAAACTTTCAAACTTTTTCAGCTTCTTCTCTTGAACTGTTGAATGAATTTTAACCAATTTTAGACTGTACCATCAATGAGAGAAGGGATAAAAAAAAAATGCTAATTTCATGGTCCCTGCTCTCCTGGAACATAAGGGGAGAGCCTAAAATCATCAAAAGAGATCAAATTAAAAAAAATCCTGTTTACCTCTGGACATCAAGCATTAAGCATTGAGCCCTCTACCAAAATTGTAAAATTCATGGTCTCAGGGTCAGGGGTTCTAAAGTAAGAGCGAGACTCTTATGATCATACGAGGGTTGTTCGGAAAGTCCGTGGACAACTGTCATAACTTTTTTACTAAACGTCATATTATGTCCAAATATGGTAGGAATATTTCAACAATAATATCAAATGACATGTATATAAAAAAAAATTAAAATATCGTGATTTATTTTAAACTTATTTGGAGTTAAAAATTGCGAAAATCGGATAGCGGCGCAGGTCAAAATTTTCGTAATTTACAATCAATACACTAAATAATGTCTGTAGTCACATCTTCTGTCAAATCGCGCAAAAACAGAAAAACCTTTGACGTTTAAATTAAGAACTGTTACATCGTTTCATATTCCAAATGATGACTTAATATTTTACTTCGTTAAAAAGAAATCAATTTTAAAAGATAGGTAGTCATCATTGAAAGATGCAAAAAAAGATGACGTCGTAGAACGTTCCGGAGCAACAGTTAATGATACAATTTTGTGTTGTACTCTGGAAAACTGCAGAAAAAAAACTGAAAATGCTGGAGGAAGTAGGAAATATGTCAAAAGCGAGCAATACATGTGTGTATACAAGGGACAGGCGGTATTTGAATGATAGAGACCCTGTATCAGTCCAGGACGATCTGCGAAGAAACGGATTATCTGTAACAATCTGTTCAAAAACTTTAAAAAGTTAGGAAGGTCATGGTGACCTCTCAGTTGTTGATCTTGTGAAAGCACAGTTTCGCAATAAAAAAGAAAATATATAACATTGACAAACAAAATTATGCTACTGGAACATATGTTAGCAAACTAAATTTCAAGTGCTAAAGAAATGGTTTTAGGAAGTGTGCTGGGATTGGGCCATTCTGTTTGAAATGTATAAGGAGTGTATTTTTGAGAACCTCATGATGCTATGTTTTTGACGTTACAATGTTGTTGAGGTTGCTCCGTGGTTACCAAACATGTTGATTTTAAAATTAAATAACATTACTTCTATTAAATCACATAGAATGAAATTTCACAAATCAACAAAATAAATATTTTTACATATGATAATGTGCTCATTTTAAATTTCTTAAAGATAGTATAACGAAGATTGACATGGTCCATGAACTTTCCGAACAACCCTCGTATAGTGAAAATATCCTCTCTTCCCTATATATATAGCAGATAAACTAGGTGCGTGGTTATGTTGAGAGAAAGTGCCTTTTCCTAGATTGTGATATTTTTGGTCTCATATCAGGGGTTCTGCTACAAGAGCGTGACTCTAATGATCACATCTGACCTCTCTTCCCTTAAGATAAACTAGGTGCGTGGCAATGATGAGTAAAGACGTCTCTTCCAAAACTCGTATAGAAACGTCATCATACACCGGTGAAGAGCTTCAAGTAAAAACCTAACCGCGGCACCTAGGGTCAATGAACAGTAACGTTTCTTTATCGTACCAACGCCTACCGTGACACGGGATCTCGGTTTATAAGGTTTCACCGAAAGAACTCTGATTTCTAGTGCAGGGCGCTTGGCGAAGGAACAGTTAGAATTTACTATATGTAAACGTTTTACGTTTGACGCGGCATAGCGAACGAGAATCGAACCCAGGCCTCTCTATCACGAAGCGAATGTCAACGCTTTTCTGCTCTTATTCTATAAGAGGTTACCGTTACGGTACATGTAGCTCAGTCGGCAGAGCGCTCGCTCAGTGGTTGAAAGGTCGTGTGTTCGAATCACGTCCGCGACTGACCTAGGTCGATAAAAAATAGGTATCAACTGTTCCTTTGCCAAGCGCTCGGCACTTTGAGTGAAAGTTGCGGGTCATTCGGATGAGACCTTAAAAACCGAGGCCCCGTGTCACGGTATGCGTATAAAATGGTTTGCCAAAAAAGGAAGGACAAAACAAAACACAACCACAAACACACAAAAACAAACCAACAAAAAGAAACAAAAACATAAAGGATATTAAGGGGGTAGGGGGTAATGAAACTTCTGAACGACTAACCGATTGCCTCCATATAGATAAACTTAAAATCTAACAAGGGATCCGTGTTACCTTGGAGGGTACTATTTCATTTACTACATATAGGAGATTCCCGTCCCACGCTCGATCCTCTTCTGAACAAAAGAAGTAAAAAGGCAGCTGTCTCGAGGGAAGGGTGCTAAAAGCATGGAGGGTAATCGTGTTCATATGGAATCCGGATAGGGCCATGCAGTTTACTATCGCATCATCGCACCATCGAGGTTTGAGTCGATAGTGCGATGACGCGATAATGCGATGACGATGAAGCGATGGTGCGATGACGATGAAGCGATGGTGCGATGGCGCGATGACGATGATGCAATGGCACGACAATGTGATGACGATGATGCGATGGTACGATGAAGCGATAGCGCGATGACGCGATGGCACGATAGCGATGACGCGATGGTGCGATAGCGATGATGCGATGGCTCGATAGTGATGACGCGATGCTATATCGTGTCATCGTTAATGCTTTATCGCACTATCGTCATCGTGTCATCGCACCATCGCTCTATCGACTAGTACTTTCTATAACAGGATAACATTCCCAGCAGTCATTGCACAACATGGCGTTCGTTGACGAAAAGATTCAAGAATATTTCTTTAACGGATACGATAATAAAGAAATCATATTCCTTCTTTGGAGTAATTATGGTGTGAAAATAAGGTAGGTATTATTAATTGTCATAAGTTATAATAAAATTAGTACATGTATAGGCTAATAGTTTCTCTATGAGTAATAAAGTAACTATACATTATAGTCTCATTCAAAGATTGTTTTATATGCATGTTCTACTTGTATGTATATACATGTATCTGTTATTTAAGAAATAGTGAAATTAAAATCTTCCATTTTAAGATATATTTTATGAATTATTTTTTTAAATAATTAAGCTGTAGACATTTGAAAAGACGCATGACTAGACTTAATTTGAGAAGACGGAGATCATACAATGTGGATATGGCAATAAGGGCTATTCAGGTAGTATTGCTTGTGTTTTATTTCATCTTTCTTTTTTGATAGATTGATAAAATATAGAAAAATCGTCAGTAACATATACATTTTGATGATAGCTCATTATCTTTTATAGTTAACTCATACAAATGTATTTCATATGATTTACATTATATTCTACTTAAAGGAAGAAATGATGTTCAGTGGACAGACTCTTGGGTGTCGTTCGATGAAACGAAGACTTCTTCAGAAACATGGCATCTTTATAGGAAGGTATATTATCTTATTATGATTAATAAACAGAATTCAAACGGTGTGCCCATTGCTTATAACGAGTTTTATATAAATAAGATATTTATAATAATTTCATTTAATTCATTTCTTTGTTTAAATTTAATGGTTAGATTTAAAATGGTTGATGATATATATATACTGTTCCAGGGATGACGTGTTGTGTTTGTTAAGAATAATCGATCCTGATGGAGTTGATCTATGAGCAAGTCACTGCTTGACAAGAAGAATGTATCTAAACAATGGACCAAATTATCTTGTACATGTTGATGGGTACGACAAGTTGAAGCCATTTGGCTTCGCTATACTGTGGGTGCAATGTGTGGGTAAGTTAATGTGTATCAGTTTTTAGTGTTCATTTGAGTCATGTAAGATTACAAGATTTTATGAAGTTATAGAATTTATTATTGTTATATACTGTTGTAGCTGCGCATCAGAAAATAATATTAACTATTAATCTAAATGATCAAATTCCTATTCTTTCAGATTTTCAAGACGAATACTATGGCTTAAAGTTGCAAGAACAAACAATGACCCTTCTGTTGTAGCATCATATTTCTTGAATTACCTGGAGGAAATAAATAGTTGAGTATATAGTTTTTACAAATCATTGATAAATATATTCCTGAAATTGTATATTGCAGTTTAATTTTCACAAGTTAATTTTCTACTAAGTAACATTCTAAATACATTGTTTTGTATTGATACAGAATAAATACAAATAAAATGCATTATTTTGTAAAAAATATTTACTTGAACAAAGAAACCATAATTGTCTCAGTTCATGGTAGTATGAGTTTTCCAATACATAGGTGCTCCAAGGTGTGTGAGACTTGATGCTGGAACTGAGAATATATACATCGAGGACATTCAAAAATCTTTTCGTTGGTACCATAATGATGACATGTGTGGAGAAAAGAGTGTAATCAAAGGAAGATCAATGTCTAACCAGGTATGAATATGAAGTTTTTTTAAAATAACTATATGATTCAGTAACTTATGTTGTATAAACAAATCAGATGAGTTAAATAACCTTCTAAAATCTGCACAACTAGGATCGAGCTCCAATTCCAGTTAACACTCCTGCAGTAGAAATTAGAGTAATTTGCCCTTTGATTTGAAAATAAGGGGGGGGGGGGGCTTGATTAAATCTGAATGGTCTACTACCCCAATCACAGTCAATTCAGTTAGTCTTAACTTGATGTAAGACCAAATAACTGAAGTAATTGAATACTTTTAAAATTTGCATGTGTAATCCTCATTTAAGTTTCTCTTCAAACTCTATACTTTTCTGAACATTTTTCCTGATGGAAAATTGTTATCTCATGTTTAAAATGAAATAGATCAACTCATTATTTTCAATATTACTTTTCAAAGACCAAAAAAAAATTCATATTATTATCTTTCATAGGCGTCATTGTGTAATCTGATACCACAGATAATTTAAAAAAAAAATAAGTTTTGCTAACTTGATACTTTCATTATTTGCATCAGTTTCATTTAATAGAGTTCAAGGTGACACAGTTCTTTTTATAGTATTAGTTATACTACAAAACCATCAAGGGGGGGGGGGGATGGATGTAATTGCAACCCCTGAAAACACCAATCTTTTGTTTAAAGTTTTGCTGCTTTATTTGTTTATTTCATATTTGAAAAAAAATGACCCCCAGAATGCACCAGACTTGTATGCATTTTTATTCTAAATTCTCTGACCTTGGGGAGGGATAACCCTCCCATACCCCTCTCTGCATCCCTTTCCAGAAACCTGTTGTCAAAAATTTGAAAATGAAGTCAGTTTAATGATTTAAAATATCTCTGCACAATCGATATACAAATTATTGTTTCTGTATCATTATGAAATTAATATATGACTAAATTATGTGATTGTTTTATGCCCCTATGATTAAAGATTGGAGGGCCTTATCCATATAGTTTTGGGTCTGTCTGTATGTTTATCTGCAAAGACTTTAATGCACCAACATTTTTTGACCTAATGACCTTCACCTTAGGGTTCGACCTACTTGTGAAAAAACTTTAACTTAGGACACAACTTCTGAATGGTTGGTGTTAGAGATTTCATATTTCTCAAGTGTACTTCTTGTAAAAAAAAAATCTGTCTTTGAGTACCGACATTATAATAATTGACCTAGGAGTTTAACCTACTTTTGTAAAACTTTGACCTTGGTCATAAGTTTGAACGGTTGATCCTAGGGGTTTTATATTGCAGAAGTTGTGTATTCCTTGTGACAGTACCGACATTTGTACTCAATGACCTTGAAGTTTGACCTGCTTTTGAAAAATCAGCCTTCAGTTTTTCACAAACAGATTTTGTTTTAAGAGAATTGAACGCTGGTGGAGAACACTGAGAGAGATGGGCATCTCCTTCTGGATACACTTGTTCAAAGACATGGAAGACCAAGGGATGTTCTCATCAGCAAATAACGAGCACATGTAAGAAGAGAAATAAATTCATTATTTATACTTTAAGAATTTATGTGTTTATAACCTATTATGATTTTTCTGCATGTTACCTAAATCCTTATGACTAAGACTAAAGCAACCATTTATAATGAGGAAGATTTTTTTCTAAAGAAATATCAAGAAATATAAACATTTTTTAGTCAATCACAATTTTAAAGGAAAAATTTCACATTGATTTAATTCTTTTTTTTTTCAAAATTGACATTTAAAATTTACCAATTTAGAGAATGCCTTCGCTTCTGTTTTATGAAAATCATCCAACAAGAACTTGATCGGATCAAAACAGAATGGAATAACCATTACATCAGAGCACAAAGACTCTATGATGATGATGGAAGTCTCCCAGGAAAACCAGAAATGATGTTTTTCCACCCTGAAATTTTTGGTATATTTCCTAGCAAAGATTTGTTTTATCACTAACTTTAATTTGAATATTTTTCGGTGTTTACCTTTCTCCTTTGATACCTTGGTTGTTTTTCACAGTGCTCAAATTAATACAGTATCAACACGTTATGACTTCATTTTTTTTTTATGTACAGGTGCAGTAGATTATAATTTTCCAGTGGATATTCATGACGTGCTAGAGTTTCAAAGATTATTTCCTAGTCCAAGCTCGACAGGATGTTGTGAGGACTATGCAGCATACTTTGAGCATTTGCTTTTGGAGGGTGGGAGAACTGTTCCAAACACCACTGAGAAGGCCATGGAGGCTTTGAAGTACTTGGTTGAAAAGTTGTAAAATCCAAATTAAAAGCACAGAGAATAAATCATCACCTTATGTTTGACTCGACTTTTTTTTTCGATTTTCATTAAAAATGTACATGTACACTAATCATCTAAGTGTATGAATTAAAAGTCACAAACAGAAATTATTACTATGTTTATTGGGTGATCATACATGCCATATTCATTGGAACAACTATTAATGAAAATTGCAAAATGAGGATACAAGGAAAGCAAACTGCTCTGAGAAAAACTTTTTTGCATACAGATGCAACAATCTAGAATTTAAAAATCAAAAGCATGCTTACAGTACCACAAATACACCAAATATCAATTAATATTCCCATACAAAAATCAATGTCTTTTTGTATTATCTTTCCCTGAAGAAATACTCCTCATATGATTATCAATGCCCTTTAGTATTATCTTTCCCTTAAGAAATACTCTTATTCTTTCATATGACTATCACTGCCATTATGGGGTTTAAAAATGAATTGGAGAAAACTTTCAAAACATAGATATACATGTAGCACTGAATACATAAAGTTATTGTCTTAAGCAAGATGGAATTCCCCCCCACAAGTAATTGCCAACTCCATTTTTCTGTGAAATTCCTCAGGGGTTTCTCCCCTAGATATTTCCAACAAAAGATCGCAGGTATGTGCAACTGGCAAACGGGCAGGGTCTTCCACAAATTTAATTTCAAGCTTTTTGTGAAATCCTAGTGGAGGGATTGTGTCAGCTCCAGTCCAAAATGCCAAGAGCATGTTTAGATTAATTTCAGATGTATCTTCTGAAAGAAAAGGAAAATAAAGGGATGAGTTAGAAATACATGTTAAGTAGTATAGAACTTGCAAATAGTGAATAAGAAAAGCATTATTGCCTCTTAAGGTCATACGCAACTTGCATATACATGTACCTTACCAACCATTTTCCAGGATATTCCTAATTCAAAATTATAGAATCTCATCAGGTGTTTTAAGACAAAAAAAAACAGCATACATTACCAGGAGTTTTCAAAAGATGTCAAAGATCAAATGATGAAAATCATTGTATTTTCTCAAAGAAAAAATTAACAAAAATATAGTTTTAGCTGGTATTTCTCAGCGTTTGCTTATCAAGAACCCCACCCTTATACCAGCGGATCTGACCCAGGGGTCATGATATTCACTACTCTGAAAGAAGCGCTCTTGCTCATCATAACTATGCACTTAACTTCTTTGCTTTTTACCCAGAAGCAGAAAAGAATATTTTCAAAGAAACTATGCTTTTTCATTATATGATCAACAGAGCACCTCCCCCCCCCCCCCCCCCCCCCACCCTTTTCACCAGAAACCTTGACCCTGGGCCATGAATTTCATAATTTTGGAAGAGGCATCCTTGCATATCATAACAATGTACTTAGTTTGTTTAAATAATACCTAAGAGCAGAGAAGAAGATTTTTGAATAATTTAATGCATTTTCACTATATCATCAATAGAGCCCCGCCCTTACACCAGAACCCCTGACCCTGGGGCCATGAATTTCACAATTTTAGTAGAGGGCTTAATGCTTATTACAATCATGCCAACAGTTTGACGGCTTCATGTCCAGGAATAAAGAAGAAGATTTTTAAAGATTGCTTTAATTTTGGTGGTTTTAGCTCCACCCCTCAGGCCACAGGGGGACAGGGACCATGAAATTCATAATTTTTGTCCTACTTCATCCATAGATGCTATATGCCAAAATTGATTGAATTGGTTCAGCTGTTTATGAGAAGAAGCTAAAAATGTTCAAAAGTTTACAACCGACAGACAAGAACGACGACAGACAAAAACGGATAGCAATAGGTCACCTGAGTGACTCAGGTGACCTAAAAATTGCCATGCCCTCAAGTTCTCTCAATCTTTGCATTTACAATATAATTTAAGTAAAGAAATAATCACTTTATTTTAATATTGTCTGATTAACTGAAAATCTTATAAAAATAAATCAATCAAATAAGAAACATTATATTGCTGTACTTGGTCTGTGAACATAAATTCCACCCCACAAAACAATCCGAACAAAAATATCTTTGACTTAAATAATATTTAAGTTGAGAGTAAAAATTGGTACACAAGGGTTTTTCTATGACATCTATGAACTTGCATCATTTCACAGATAAACAGTCATGTACTTAATTCTTTATACCTGAACAATCTTGCAGGAACAGTTCAAAAGCATACATTGTATCTTCTTCTCTCTTTTTGTCATTTGATCCATCTTCACTGTAGTTAATCTGTATAATTTCTTTCAGTTTCTGCATGGTTAACATGCTGTTGGACAAAGCGTGAAGAAAAAGTCCCCTTATTTCCTCAGAATTGCTCTTCATAAGTGTGTAGAACCCTAAACTATTCAATCCTTGGCTGAACTGTGCAATTTCTGCATGGATTCTTAAAGAAATATTGATAGGATATGTAGTTACTGGTATATTGGCAAGAAAAAAAGCTTCAATATCTTTCATTGTTGTTTTAAAACAGATATTGGTGGGATAAGGTGTATGAAAATTAATACATATAAATACAATGTATTTGTGAACCAAAAAAAATGATATAAAATCACCTTAGGTAAACATGACTCTTCAATAGCTGTCTCACCATAGTGTCTCTCGTATGTTCTGTGTATGGTGGAATGATACCATACACTCCATGTTCTACCAACCAATCCATCGAAAGAGACAGTTCTTCGTCATCTGCAGTTTGCAGCTGTAAGCATATTAGAGTAAATCTTACTGTATTATTAAATGTTAAGATTTTTTTTTTCCACATTTATTTCCCAGACCTATAACATTAAAGATGATATATAGGGTAGCTACCAGGGATGGGGCCCTGACGAAGCTCCCTCTATAACAATATATAATAATAATTCCTACAGCACCACGCAGGGTGCTAAATATCTAAATATCTAAATCTAAATACAATGTCTCACATAATTTATTCATATCATACATTCAATATGTATATTAATTAAATTGTATAACATATAAAAACAAAGAATATTTATCCGGATACAATTTTGATTTTAAACATTGTAGTATAGATCTATACAGTCATGTAAGTTCAGTTAACTTTCAAACACTTGCAACTGTTTTCTCATTTTGTTTCAGATGAATAAAAAAATGTATACCTTATGTATTTTATTTCTGACATCAAGGTCTTTGACATCATCTATTGAATACACGACATCTTTGGGTTCAATAAGAAGCTGGTAAACAGTTGGATTTAGATATGGAATACCTGGTCCCCCATGGAGAATACTCCATACCACCAATCTTCCAGCCTTGAAAAACATCTCTTTTTCTAACAGTGGCACAGAGTGTATAAAGGACTTGTTATATGGTTCCCCTTCCAGAATGGTACTAGCCAGTTCCTTCATAAGACAACTAAAATACAAACTCAGATTTAAATGCAATTTCAATAAACAACTGCAGACTAAACAATTTCATGAATTCATTATTCTTTTACTAATCATTACCGGTGTCTTTATAATAAATTTACTTTCCTGTTTTTAAATAAGTAGGAGTTTATGTAATTAATGTGGCATCATAGGAACTTTCCTAGTAAATAACTTGATATTATTGAGATGGTCAGCATCTCAAAGGGACCCACTTTTATATTAGTTAAGGTCATTATGATCAAGGGGCATGTAAAATACAGTACTGCAAGTATTTGGAATTTGCCCATAACTTTTACCTATATGGACACACTCTGGATGAAAAAGGAGTCAGAAGGACCAAAAGGGAAAGAAAATATCTCCTTTGACCATGGGTTTGATCTAGAAAGTTAATTCAAGGACACCACACAATCTTTATGCACACACTCTACAGATGAAGCTGGAGCACTATTGGGCAAAGGGGAGAGAAAAAATGTGCTCCAGACAAAGGTTACAATCAGAATTTTTTTTTAATTTGAATGAGGTACAAGGACTACATTGCTCCACTGAACACATTAGCCCAGAGAAGTAGAAATCCATTCAGTATTGAAAAGTTTAAATATAAAAGAAGTCCCAACTTACTCCTTGGGGATGATTTAAACAAACTTAAATCTACACTTACTGAGGATGCTTCTAAATTTATTTGATTAATCATGGCTTTAGAAGACTTTATAGGTTTTTTTCCTGTATTGAGTATTATTTTCAACTGTGGCCCCCGCCCAAGCCCCAAAGGGTCATAATTTCAACATTTCACAAACTTAAATCTACACTATCTAAGGATGCTTCTGTATAAATTAGAAATTATCATGGCCTTGCTGTTAAGAGGAAGATTTTTAATGATTTTTCAGTATATTTCTATGTTAAACTTAGATTGCCCATTATGGCCCCATCCTAGCCACAGGGTTATGATTTAAACAAACTTGAATCTGCACTACCTGAGGATTCTTCTGTATTAATATGACCAATTATGGCTGTGCTGTTCCTGATAAGATTTTAAATATTTTTCCAATGTTGAACTTTGATTGCCTATTGTGGCCCCACCCTATTCCCAAGGGTCATGATCTGAACAAATTAGAATCTACCCTACCTGAGAATGCTTCCATATAAATATGATCAATAGTGGATTTACTGTTCTTTAGTTTGATACAAAGCAAAGAAAAACTGGAGACCAACACCTTGAGGTTAAAATTGCGAAAGATTCTCACATGTGGATATCGAACGGTATTCAATAGGGTATGTACCTAAAGTTGTAAGCTTAAAGATATAAAACAGATCTCCAACGCTTCGTGAGAATGCAGCAGTAAATTTATTTTGTTAAATAAAGTAAATTTACTGCTGCATTCTCGCAAAGTGTTGGAGATCTGTTTTATATCTTTATGTTCTTAAGTTTGGTTGAAATTGGCAAAGTGGTTCTGAAGAAGAAGATGACATTTTAAAAAGATAATGATACCATAAATGACAACAACAGAAAATGGACAAATTTTTATCAGAAAAGCTACAAATGGTTAAAGTTCACTGCACACCTTCTATCCACAGGCAATATGTAGGTGAAGCATGAGCTAGATTAGGCCAGGAAAAGAGAAAACATTTTTCTAGGCAAGTGATAATGGGCAGAAAGATGGACAGACAGACCAGACTGATCATCATATGGCACCCACAGAGCAGGGGCCCTAATAAATCTGTTTATATATACCGTAAAAATTCCCTCTTTGGTCCTCCAAAATCGGATCCCAGTTCACCTGGAAATTCTACTTTAAATGGTTCCTCCAACTTAAATGAAGCCCTGTCCAAAGCCCTTAGTGCTGAGTTCAAAATGTGCCTTCTGTGAACCACAACCAACTGCTTAACATTTCCCTCCTCCTCACACTTGAGTGTGTTCATTGTCCACTTTCTTAAATCGAAGTCAATGAATTGCTGTGGTCTGTTGTTTCAAATGAAATTAGAATTCATAAAATTATAAAACAGTTTGCTTACAAGATAATAAAACAACATAATTTTATAACGAAGTTTTCACTTTAATTTTGATTTTTAAAACATTATACTGTGTTTCGACGAAACAAGCATTCCAAGTATTGCCTTAATTAGCAAAAATAGTCCCCTAGGGGTGAGTATAATCCATTTAAAATTGAAAATGCCATAATTCAGTCAAAAATCAATGAAGCAGACTTAATCTTAATTCATCAGGATACACTCACATAACAAAAATCAGCTCAATATCTGTAAGCATTGAGAAACAAAAGGCCCATGGGCCACATCGCTCACCTGAGCATATTGGCTAGACAAAAGCACAATCAGTTCAGTATTGAAAAGACCGGGAGGGGGCTTGAATTTTAAACTACCTGATGATGCTTCCGCTTCCATGTCAATATAACAAATGGCTTTGTTGTACTTGAGAAGAAGATTTTTTTTAAAAAATTCCCATATATTCCTTTGTAAAAATTTGATCCCTCATTGTGGCTCCTCCCTATCCCAGAGGTCATCATTTGAACAAACTTGAATCTACACTACCTCAGGATGCTTCCATATAAATATGACTCATCATGGCTTTGCTGTTCTTGAGAAGAAGAATTTTAAAGATTTTTCCTATATATTTCTATGTAAAACTTTGATCCTCCATTGTGGCCCCGCCCTACCCCCGGGGGTCATGATTTGAACAAACTTGAATCTACACTACCTCAGGATGTTTCCATATAAATATGACTCATCATGGCTTTGCTGTTCTTGAGAAGAAGATTTTTAAAGATTTTTCCAAAATATTTCTATGTAAAACTTTGATCCTCCATTGTGGCCCCGCCCTACCCCCAGGGGTCATGATTTTAACCAACTGATTCTACACTACCTCAGGATGCTTCCATATAAATATGACTCATCATGGCTTTGCTGTTCTTGAGAAGAAGATTTTTAAAGATTTTTCCTATATATTTCTATGTAAAACTTTGATCCTCCATTGCAGCCCCGCCCTACCCCCGGGGGACATGGTTTAAACAAATTTGAATTTACACTACCTGAGATTGCTTCCATATAAATATGACTCATCATGGCTTTGCTGTTCTTGAGAAGAAGATTTTTAAAGATTTTTCCTATATATTTCTATGTAAAACTTTAATCCTCCATTGCGGCCCCGCCCTACCCTCGGGGGTCATGATTTGAACAAACTTGAATGTACACTACCTAAGGATGCTTCCACATGAGTTTCATCTTTCCTGGCCCTATGGTTCTTGAGAAGAAGATTTTTAAATGATGCCATTATTTTTTCAGTAATTCTTAATTATCTCCCCTTGAAAGAGGGCGTGGCCCTTCATTTGAACAAACTTGAATTCCCTTTACCCAAGGATACTTTGTGGCAAGTTTGGTTGAAATTGGCCCAGTGGTTCTTGAGAAGAAGTCGAAAATGTGAAAAGTTTACAGACAGACAGATGGACAGAAGGACAGACGGACAGACAGACGGACGCCGAACAAAATGTGATCAGAAAAGCTCACTTGAGCTTTCAGCTCAGGTGAGCTAAAAAAGTGTGGAAAACCAAGTGGGACAGCCTGACAGACAGACAGACAGAAGGACAGACCAACAGATGGACAGACAGACGGACGGACAGACAGACTCAGAGGAAACCAACAGTCTCCTCTGGTTTCACCAATAGGGGACTATTAATTGAAATACTAGAGTTAATATTGGTGGAAAAATATTATACAAAATTATTGCTGCTTTTTTCAGTCAATACGGAGTTTTAACCACCTGAGTAGTACAATATTCACCGAGCCCGAAAGGCTGGGTGAATATTGTACTTCCAAGGTTGCTAAATTATCATATTGACTGCAAAAACAACAATTATAATTGTTTTATTATATAATTCAATGATTAAATAATTCAAACTCATTAAGCAGTTCACATGCCATCTTACTTGTTTACATTTATAGTCCTAGCTAAAAATGAGAGAAGCAGGGTTAAACAAACATTACCAGTCATATTTTAAATTTGGACTTTTTCTTAAAATCTACTTTAGTTGCTAAGACAAAAAAAAATAAACCCAGCCTCTTTTATAGGATCGATTTAGAAAAGGGAGCATTATTAGGGGAAAGTGACCGCCGAAAAAAATCTTTCAATTGATCATCTCCCATGAAAAAAGAATTCTCTTCACTTCAAATTTTGTTCTGAGGTTGGGTTAGGGATGGTGAATTTAAGATCCATTAGTGGGGGACCATCCTTTCAATGAAAATTGTTTGTATTAATTAAGAGTAAAAATTCCCCCCTTCCCCCCACATCACCCATGCCCCATATTATATATTTCCTAATTGTTATGTTCAAATGAGTGGAAGAATAGCTTTCAAAACTATATGAGTCGATTTGTAATTTTCCAATCTACATATTTTTATAGACCAATGTAGAGAAAATAAATCCTTATATTCACCTGGAAGGTCAATTGTAGGTAAATGTAATGTAGTATTTTTTCTACATTGTTGGATCTCAGCCACTCAGAGAGATAGAAATTATTCAACCATATAATAAAAGTATTTATTCTTACTGCATAATTTCTAAACTAGCTCTTATAGCTGCCTGTATTTGCATGTCTCCATCTAAATCTTGACCATCACTACAATCCTGGCTGCCTGCACTCGAGATTGATACTTCACTCAAAAAAGGTTTGTTACCATTCTTGTCAGGTTTAGGAGTCTGTGAAATAATGGACAAAAACTTAATTTAATCACTCTTTCTTGTGATTAATTGATACTTTATTTATATTTACACTAGAAAACAGAGCCCTGCTTAGGGATATAGCTAACATAGGAAAGTGAGAAATGTACTTAATACATACATTGATGTTTAAAACAAAATATACCACATAAGGAGGGTGAATGGAAAAATTACTGATTCAGAAACATGTTTTAGAAATTTTAGTATTTCAAGATTGGACACACATAGAAATATACATACATACATACAGATAAAACTGTATGATGACAAAATTTATGGCTAAAGAATAGTTTTCTTATAATCACCTATACAAAATTTTGAGGTAGAATAGGCACGGCTAAAGCACGGAACTCGCACAGGTTTTTAGAAAGCCGCATAGGTTCTGCATGTCCAAGACACGGACACAGATTCTGAGTCTGAAAGTGAGGAACCCTTGCTCACAGAAACCGGTGTGGGGGCACGGAATCTGTGTCCCAGAGAGAGGTTTTTAATCAAGCGGGTTTTGCTTTAAACTATTTATTCATATCTCACAGCTTTTTACTAAGCATGCTCAATCATAACTTCCTTTATTTGAATATCAAATTGGAGGGATTTATGGTCATGAGCTAAGAATGTGTCTATTTTACTCTAGTTAAAGGATATATAACTAATAGATCTCAGTTGGAATTGTATTTATGTCAGTATGGAATGATTTCATCACTTTTGAACTAAATGCAGTAAGTCTAATATAGAATAAATTAGTCATTTTCAATTTTCATGATCTTTCTGTATTGCAATATGTTGACAATGAACATGATGAAATAGTCTTTGTTTATTTGAATGACTTTAGTTGGACTTTCACCAGGTAATCCCTAGACATTTTATGTGTCATCACTGTGTTACAGAAAGTTTTATCCCGTACGAAACAGTCCGGGCGGCTTAGACACGGCTCAGGCACGGATTCCGTTTCCAGAAACCTGTGCTTTTAGCATTCCTGCTCCTATGTAAAATATGTATGGAAAGTCGTGCCTAAAAGTGGTCGAGGCACGGACACGGCACGGGATATTTGCCGAATTATTTAAATTAGATCACACGGTTTTACAAAACCCGTGTCAGAAAGCCGTGCTAGTTTCCATATATGGACTCACGGATTCTGTAAACCCATGTCTGAAACCCGTGTCCTTTTCCATATATGGAGACACGGATTTTTGGAAACCCGTGTCAAATAAGCCGTGTGATATACCATATATGGAGTCACGGGATCTGTGCATTTGTTTAGATCTAGGTCAGGGCCTTTAGAGAATCTCCTGATGCAACTGTAGATGCCAAAATGGTGACTGAAACCAAACTTCACAATGCTTTACATTATTTTTATGCTTAGTTTTAGAATTTTAAAAGTTAAAAATCTTATATGAATGTGTCCATTTACTTTCTGTTTAGTGTTAAAAATTTACTTTATCTATCCATGCTAGCTTTTTATTAAGAATTTAATGATAGTGTACAATTCAATTGTAATTTTATCTAATCTAAGTTTGCACAATCTGAGAAAGCATTTAATTTAAATAAAACTTTCTGTAACATAGTAATCATAAATGACACATAAAATGTCTGGAGATTAATTAGTGAAAGTCCAACTAAAGTCATTCAAATAAACAAAGACTCATCAGGTTCATTGTCAACATTGCAACACAGAAATTTCATGAAAATTGAAAAACTTATTTATATTCTATATTACACTTACTGCATTTAGTTCAAAAGTGATGAAATCATCCCAGATTGACATAAATACAATTCCAACTGACATCTATTAGTTAAATATCCTTTAACTATAGTAAAAAAGACACATTCTTAGCTCATGACCATGAATCCCTCCAATTTAATATTCAAATAAAGGAAGTTATGATTGAGCATGCTCAGTAAAAAGCCGTGAGATATAAATAAATAGTTTGAAGCAAAACCCGCTTGAGTTAAAAACCGTCTCTCTGGGACACGGATTCCGTGCCTCCACACGGGTTTCTGTGAGCGAGGATTCCTCACTTTCAGACTCAGAATCCGTGTCCGTGTCTTGGACATGCAGAACCCGTACGGCTTTTTAAAAACCCGTGCGGGTTCCGTGCCTTAGCCGTGCCCAAGCCGTGGCTATTCCGCCTCGAACTTTCGTACGGGATTTTAATCAAATTCTTCCTCAGATTGTGCAAACTTTGATAAAATTACAATAATGAATTGTACATATCATTAAATTCTTAATTACAAACTAGCATAAATTGTAAATGATAAAAGTAAATTTTTAACGGAAAGTAAATGGACACATACATATAAGATTTTTAACTTTTAAAATTCTAAAACTAAGCATAATAATAATGTAAAGCATTGTGAAGTTTGCATGGTTTCAGTCACCAGTTTGGCATCCACAGTTACATCAGGAGATCTCTAACGGCCCTGACCTAGATCTACACAAATGCACAGATCCCGTGACACCATAAACGGTATATGTCTCACGGCTTTTTTGACACGGGTTCCAAAAATCCATGTCTCCATATATGGAAAATGACACAGGTTTCGGACACGGGTTTGCAGAATCCGTGAGTCCATATATGGATACTAGCACGGCTTTCTGATACGGATTTTGTAAAACCGTGTGATCTAATTTAAATAATTCGGCTAATATCCCATGCTGTGTCTGTGCCTCGACCACTTTAAGGCACGGCTTCCCATACATATTTTACATAGGAGCAAGAATGCTATAAGCATGGATTTCTAGAAAACAGAATCCGTGCCTGAGCCGTGTCTAAGCCGCCCGAACTTTTCGTAAAGGCGAACTCCTTTTGCACAAAATGTTAAATAGTTACAAAACTTACAACGAAAACTGTTTGTCATAACATATCACTATTCATATACATGTACATATAGACATATTTACAAACTGTCAGTCAGACAAAGTGTTATGACCATATATAGATTCTTGTAATGGTAGAGTATTCTTGTACCATAGTGTAAAGCAAAACAGTGAAAACTAAGTCAATGCGTCACAACACAAGAGTTAGACAGACAGACAAATGGACGAACATGGAAGAAATCTATGTCTCCTCTGGTTTCAGCTATAAGAGACTAATAATATACATTAATTTATATAAGGAGAGTATTTTCATGATTTTCATTGGCTGAAATGATGTCACGTGATATTCATACTTTTGTGATATTGAGGTGAAAGCGAGTCTGCAGAATATGATATCGCAAGACTCACAGTTCAATCGGCTGTACCAAAGTGACATAGAACGTGACATCATAATATAAGATGCATGTTTTTACCATTGTGACATAATGACAGCCAAATCCGTTCAGTTAGGACTGTGTCAGAATATTCACCTTGAGTAATTATATAACTATTATGGTCTTCAGTGAGTGGTCAATATGTGGTTATAAGGACCAATGTCAAGTAACATGGGTCCTCATAACCACATATCGACCTACACTGAAGTCCATAATTGTAAATTGGTAAATGTTATAATAAACATGGGATATTATTTCAAATACTCACTGAAGTTAAACAAGTCTGTCTTGACTTTCTGAAAAATATTGCAGGAGTACCAGCATTTTCAAATTCTGAGTCCGATCCTTCATCTGTAAAAACTGCATCAGATGTGCCTGGTAGTAACTGTGGGTTTTCCAACTGACTGGACTGGCTTAATGACTGACATTCTCTAACATCAGAAGGACCAGGAGAATTCTTTTGAAAGAAATCATAAAAAAAAAGATCAAAGCATTCCAAAATAAAAGATTTCTTGCATGTTATTTAAGTGTTGATAACAAATTGTGTCTTTCATATTGCAAACTATTACATACATGTATATTACAAACAAAATTCCTGCTTCATATTCACAAACTAACCATATAAACACTACACTGTAGTGCCATGCATCTCAAAATTCCATTCAAAATGCAGCAGACACAAGGCAGTAATAAATCTCTCTCTGTTTCTGAAAAGGGTTTTTTAATACTTAGTTTTACTAAACATACCATTATTAAGGTTATGTAAAGAAAGAAGATATTAGTTCCGAAATATCAGGCAGATAATTGTCATCATCATCTTCTTTCTTTGAAGCACATGTATGTAAGTATACTCTCACTGGATATGTCTTAATATGGTCAAAAAATTTTCCAACAGTAAATCCACCATCATTATGAAAGCGAGGTAGTGGATCTCCAGAAAATGATGCTAAGAAATGATTTAAGTCTGACAGCTTCACGTTCTGGGCAATAGATCTTCCCTTTGGAAAGTAGAGGTCAAGAATTTGCTTTTCAAGTTCTTCATATGTGGTATCTTTTGAAACATCAATAATTTGTTGGCCGCCACCTTTGCTCAAAGTGACAACCTTGAACAAGTCTGGATTAATAGAATGCTTCCACCCACAATACACTCTTCTAGTTGGCTTGAAGTACTTTTTCATTTTCTTTGACTTCTGTGTACGAACTCTTTCCTTTTTTAAATCGAAGAATTTCTTCATAACTGGTGAGGTTTCTTCACTTTTGGCTGAAAAGAAGATTGTTGGATTATATTTTCATTTATATATTTAGATTGCTTATTATGTTGACCTGTAGAAATTTAGAGGCGGATTCCGCCTGGAATACGGGTGGAATATGGCAGGAATTGGCAAATTTTAGACATATTTGAGGTGGTGAAGGACCTTTAAAAGTTACGCTCAAGTACAAGTAGATGAGGCGTCTTTCAGGCATCATTTCTACTTTCTGGGTATCAATTGGCGAGTTCAGATTTTCCTATCGTGTGAAATGGCAGGAAAATTCAGAAACAATATATGCCTGGAACTTTTAAAAAGAAGTAAAAGTCTATGATTGGTCAATTAATTATCAATTAGGCCATTCCAAGTTTTTTCTATGTTTAGTGTCCATGTGCCCCTTGGTTTTTGGCACACGATATCAGAACAAGAGGCCCATGGGCCACAACACTCACCTGAGTAATATTGGCCCAGCTGTTTATCGCCAGATTTTCCCCCTTGTCATATTTATTGTGGCCCCACTCTACCCCAAATATCTACTGGAAATATGATAACAAGCTTATTTTATCTGGAAATTATTGAAACTACAAACTTTGAAATGTGTTTGATTGACACATCCTTGCGCTTTCACCAAGTAAACTTTATCCTTAATACTTACGAAAAGTAAAAATTTTGTTGTGTGTAAATGAAAAATAGTAAAACTATAATCCAGAAAATTCAGGGTAGAAATGTGAGAAAGCAAAACCAACTCACCAGTATTCCATGCTCATTAATGTGTGCAGAGTTTATCAAATTGAACACACCCGGTGAAACATAAACATTAACAATAACAGAGCTTGTGTCATGTTTACAAAAACAGCTAGTTTACATAACAAAATTCCTACTTTTCATAAGTTTTATGGATATATATAAAGTTTACTTTGTGAAAGTACAAGGATGTGTCAATCAAACACATCCGAAATTTGTAGTTTCAATAATTTCCAGATAAAATAAGTTTATTATTATATTTCCATGTGAAGTGCTATAGCAACATATAATTAAGTCATGATATCATACAGAAAATTTGAGAAAATATTAACTTCAAATCTTTGTCCACGCCCCTTTAACAATTTACAATTTCCTTCACCTAAGGATGCTTCGTACACATACCAAATTTGGTTAAAATTGGCAGAGTGGTTCTTGAAAAGAAGTTGAAAATGTCAAAAGATTACAGTTGGAGGGACAGACAGGCAGAAAGATGCCAGACACCGGGTGATCAGAAAAGCCCATATGACCTTTCAGCTCAGATGAGCTAAAAACAAGTCCCAGCTACAAAGGATATGTTAGCAATCATATTTTAAAAAGAAATTGAAATGAATTTGTAAAATTTTAATGAAATTAAACTGATCCCAATCAGAATTTTATAATAATTGTAAAAAGATAACATTTTCATAAGAATACTAGTTTGTTTACCTGCAACACAGATTACAAAGTAATTGAACTTGACAATAACATACATGTAGATTTCTTAGTGGTGAATACATAGAGAAGGCAATATAATAATAATTTTATTAATTTTGTGTTAATTTTGATCGGGATCAGTTTAATTTTGATCAGGATTGGTCCAAATATTCATCTCGTGAGGTTAAATCCAGGGTTGTGAAACCCAAGCCATGATATAATTTACAATGCACCACAAAACAGTCAAAATTGTATGGTTAAACTATTACATAAATAATTTATCTAAAAAATTAAAATGTCTATCCAGTATTACTTTACATACTTTACTACACTCATATTATGCATTTATTAACAGCAACCATACATCTTGTATGGTTTTAAATCACAAAGCATCTTGTTTGCAAATAAAACATTTTTTTTTTCATTTAATTTCTCCAAAAAAATACAAAAAAAAAAAAAATTGTAAAAAATAATTAAGAGCTGATATCAGTCTTTCTAGGCTGAAATCTATATATATATATATATATACAAAATTAAAAAGGGATGTCTTAATTACCTATAAAATAAAATTTTGGTGTGGCATTTCTCCTTAAAGTGCTAAGCATATATGCAGAATTTTATTGATTACTTGTCTCACCTAGCTGGATTTCCTCTTCGAGGCAAACACCATTGCCCCCTCGTACAACACAATCTTGTAATTTTTAATCCATTTTCTTAAAATCTAGAGAATAGATATTTGTTACTTTTATGAGATATCTCATATATAGTTAAAAAAAAAATCAGTTAATTACCTTGAAGATGATTTCGACAAGCTTGTTTTAATCTAAGTTGAAGTCCAGTTGCTGTAACTCCAAGCTTTTCAAAATCTTTGTAAGTTCAACTACATCCTGAATTCTGATCTGAAAATGATGTACCATACACAACTAATCTACAGTGCATTAATCTTGAAACCTTTAGGACTAGTGTACACATTAATGAAATAAATGCATTTAAACATTACTTTTACTTCTTTTTGAACTTCATTTGTGTGTAATTTGACAACGTACAATATGTACACATATATGCCATAGATTCAAGACTGATCTCAAACACATACATGTCCATCACCCTTTGAAATATACTTTTTGTGACACTATATGTGCATACATCATGGGGATTTAAATATTTTGCAATAAAATTATAAATCATCAAGTGTTTGTCTAATTTTGTAACACAATTAATGGGTAAGACAACAGACTACTGACCTGCAGATCCCAAGTTGGATTGCAAAAATGGCTTTTGCTTTTATGAATTATATGAAGTTTATTGACGATGCAAAATTGCATTTCCCCCCATCTTTTCAAAATAAGTAAACAGTTTTCCAAAGGTTTTAAGGAGGATAACAGTAGTTTGCAAAATTTTCTGACATAATCTTTTGTAATACATGTCATATATACATAGTAAATTACAAATATGGAATTGACACCAACTAAATTCACACAAAAAACAATAAATTACATGTATTTTGGCAATGACACAAATTACTGTTTCTCTGAAAATATCTACATGAGGTAACTTTTGCATATGCAGATCTAAGGGGGGTGGGGTGGGTGGGTGGAGGGGGGAGGGAAGGGGGGTTGTATCTGAAGAATCTGAGGAAAAAAAGTGCCACCCACCCCTAACAGGTTTTTCAGATTTGATGAAGTTAATTTGTTTTGTTTTTGTTTTTGTTTTTGTTTTTTTTTTTTTTGGCTTGATAAAAAAATTTTGAGCTTATGACAACTGTAAGAATATGTGGACAAACTGCAGGCTGTAAAACATACAAACATTAATTTTACTGAGCACCATGATTAGAGAAAATCATGATGCTTGTTACATTGACACACAGCTTATTAATCATTAAGAAGCATGATAAGTAATCATACTAATGTGTCAAGTTGTAACAAGAGTCCTTTAATTAGTTTTTCTTACCATGTTTTCTCTGAACACATGAATTCTTTCTTTCATTCCTATCTCTTCCAATATGTTGTATATATCTGTGTCATCTGAAAATTTGCATTAGAATGATCCATGAAGATGTGCATGTGAAACAACTATATGTCTCTAATGAGGACACAGTTTCATGACACAGAGCAAATATCTATAATTATTCAAGCAAGTTAATTTTGTTAAGACTCAGCACTGTCTGCATAATGCAAAAAGAAAAAAATCGAAAAACTATGTGTACTACTTAAAATAAGTAAAGTTTAGTGTATTTGTTCCTGATAACGGTAGTTGATTTAATTATAAAAATTGAGCATAAGTCTGTATTGTTATGATGTTTTGGGTGCTGGCCCTAGACTGATTTGGCATCCCATTGAACTCAGACTGTTACAAGTACACTGATCAAACTCCATTGCCCAGACACACATTTCTGGTCCAAAATCAAAAGAATATTTCAAAAATATAAGGCAGATAAAGTTTATAGTAGAATTTATTCCACTAAAATCTCGAGTCATGCTTGGAGCCCCCAATTCAGTTCAGTCATGGGAGCCCCCCCCCCCCCCCCCAAGTGTAAGGAGCACCCAAGAAAGTGGTATAATAAAAAGAGGATAAAAATTATAGTTTTGAAAGAATAAAGTGGTGAAAAGAGTTAGTAAACCTAATGTATTATTGTGCAATAAAAATAAAATTAGGAGTGATAGTCAGTCTTTAATCTAAGAAAAGTAATTACATCAGGATAAGTTTACTTATAAGTATGGATTTTCAATATCTAAATAGCCCTACATAATAATAATTGTAACTTATACAAGATCTTCAAGTTGTACCGTAGTGCAACTGGGGCAATATTCGTCTTGCTCCCGTCTTCATTTTGTCATGTAATCTACTGATACAATTACATTATTTTTTCAGATTATTTGCTAACCCATGTTATAAACAAATCAAAATGAATTTACCTAAGTAACTAAGAAACATATTGTATGTATGTACGGTTAGACGTCTCAAAGTACTGTAGGCCTACATCATATCACCGTCATCATGATCATTTCATCGAATCACGACTGCAACTATAAGCTTTTTGAGAAAAATACCTTTTTAAACAGAAGAGCTTCACCTGTATTAGTTAATTCGAGCAAAGATTGAAAATAAAACTTATTTTAATTTTTTAGTTGATCATCATATTTAAATAACAAGCACGTAGCACTAGGAAGAGGGACTTTTGTTTTGTGTATGCTTTTAATTTTCTTGATTGTGAATCCCCCCTCTTTAAAAAACCAAATCTAGATCGTGTGAATTTCGTTTTATTTTACATAGTCACATGATTAGTGTATTGTTATCTTTATTTATCAAACTATATTTTAAATCTTCTAACTAGTTATATTTCTGGCAAGAAAGACATGGTTAATTTTAATACATAAGTGAAGTTTATAATTAACCCACTAAGGTTCTATTTCTGATATAAAATCCGGTCATACCTTCACTACCTGACGCCATTTCTCTTCTCAATGGCGCATGCGCATAAAAGTCGATAACGCGATGGTGCGATAGGGCACTGACGATAATGCGATAGAGCACTGACGATGACACGATAGAGCATCGCGTCATCACTATCGCGCCATCGCATCATCGCTATCGCACCATCGCATCATCGCTATCGTGCCATCGCCTCATCGCGCTATCGCTTCATCGTACCATCGCATCATCGTCATCGCATTGTCGTGCCATCGCATCATCGTCATCGCGCCATCGCACCATCGCTTCATCGTTATCGCACCATCGCTTCATCGTCATCGCATTATCGCGTCATCGCACTATCGACTCAAACCTCGATGGTGCGATGATGCGATAGTGAACTGCATGGCCCTATCCGGATTCCATATGTTCAAATATCCAGATTTGTAAGTTTGTAAATCCGAACTTGCAATCGTAAAAGCTTCTTAGTCTACACATTTAAGTATTTAATTCCGATTAATTTTAGCATGTATTTCCGAACATACAACTTCAGAATTTACTGTATTTTGCCCCGCTTGATGATATACTTGTACACAAGACATTAAACTTGCATGTGTTGTGAGTTATCCTTTCATCCCTCTACATGTTTTTTTGCTACCTATATTACCGAGCTCTTTAAACAAAGACAAAGAAAATTCATAAGTCTACCAATATAAAGTCTACACGTTTGTCAAATTTTGATAATGACAAAGTATGGAGGAGTATCAGTACCACATTTTTTAATGTTCTATTTTCTAGCTATATTCTAACTTCTTGTTTCTCCAAATATCAATACCCCCCTAAAAACGTTGTCACGAACCCGCATTTATTGGGTGGCTATTTTTAAAAATTTGATATCATTGCAATTAAATTAGATTTTAATAACTGCGGCACTGATCACATAGTGTCTATGGGAGATAGCTTCGTACGCCATGGGAGCTCGGCGTTCGATTCTCCAATCTTTCTGGTGTCATGCCAAACCAAGATATCTTAACATACATGTAGATGGGGACTATTCCTTTGGCATTTAAAGTCAGTGGTCTTTCGACTGGGACCTTAAAAACCGAAGCCCATCTAGATCCTCGCATGCCATGCATTAGCGGGAAATAATTCATATCACTGAGCACCGGTTTATTCCCACTTAGCCAACATTTTGAAAAATCCTATTCCCACATAGCCAACATTTTGATTTTTACACCTGAGTGATCAACAGGCTATAGTCTGTTTTCAGGTATATATGCTTTACCTGAGAATTACTACCTTTGAAAAAAATAGTGTAAAAATAAATTCAAATGAAAACTTCAGTCAAAACATAAAAATAAAATTTAAATCAAAAAAAAAAATGAAATTCTAGAAAAAAGAATTAATTTATATAAATGTAGTAAAAAATAAATATAAATCTGCATTTTTTTAAAATTAAAAATTGAATATTGATAAAAGAAAATATTGAAAATTAATTAAGAAATAAAGTATTTTAAATGATACCAAAGAAAAGTGTATATTACATTGTAGAAACAATTTTGAATATTCTAAAATATATTCATCAGTTGAGATTAAAAATATTTATCTGAGTATGTAATATTCGACTGTGATAATGATCACAGTAACAGAATCTTTTGATACAAACTGATTCATTTATATCTGATTTAAAAAATCAACTTAGAAAATTTCATGCTTGATATTCACAAACCTGTCTTTTTTAACTATATATGATTCTAATAGGGCCTATGTATTATTTTATATCATAAAAATGAAATTTTTTTCGGGGGGGGGGGATTCCTGTCATTTTGTTTTATTTTTACTCTGCCATGGAAAATGTAAAAAAAAAAAAAACTATAAATTTACTGAAGAATTAATGTTTGTACATTTTTTTTTTAAATTTCATATACAGTTTGAATATTTAATTCTATGTTGCAGCATATTATGTGTTTTACATTCAAACTTTAAAATTTTAGGCTTGATTCAAGTTGAGCTATAATTTATTTAAAAAGAAGAAGGATAAAATGATTAATAATTTAAATATATTCAATGATCGATTTTTGAATATTTATTTTATAATAAATATATTTAAAAACGTTTCCCGCCAAAGATGTTACAAATGTGACAAAGAAAATTAAAAAAAAAAAAAAAAACAAATTGTGATACAGCACAGCAATAAAGAAGAATAAAACTGTTAATTATTAAAAATAATTAAATCACACTGTAATTAATATATCAATTATTATTATATTGTTAAGAAAAGATATTTTTGTACTTGCACTGAAACTCAATTCATCAAAAAAAATATTACATTCATCATGGTGTTCTTATAAGTACATGCTACAAATTAAATAAATTATTTTATTCGGCTTATACATGTAGCTTAAAACAGACTATAGCCTACCTGTAATTCATTTCTTTTGTTCTCAGTCTGCACCCCATTCCCACTTAGCCAACACACATTAACCTGTGTTTTACCTGTATTTTTTCAAAATGTTGGCTAAGTGGGAAGACACCTGAGCACCAATATGGGTTTTTTTTCATGGATAATCATTTTGAAAATTAAGGAAATAATTGTTAACATTAATTGCATTAATTTCTTATTTGTATATTTGAAAGAGTTTAATTGGAAAAGCTTAATTTTTGTTATAACAAAGAATATTTATTGCAATTTTGTTAATTATGTGTACATTTATTAAATGATATATTTTTTTTAATGGAACCTGTTTTTATCCCTTGTATTAAATGTCATAGACTCAAGTTTCCAGCATCTGTATGTCGTGTATCTTGGAAATTTGTAAACTTAATTATATTTTTTTCCCTCCAGATTCAGAAATCCAATCTTTACCAAACTTGGCAAAAAGGATAATTAGGTCAAGGGGAATAAAATGTCTTCCAATTATCAGAAAATGATTCTTTAAAAGGGACATTAGTATAATAAAATGGTAAATAAAGTTTGGTTTCCAAGGAAAGATAATCAATTAATGGTAAATACTAGTATGAGTAAGAGAGAGCAGAGAAAAGTAGAAAATAAGAAAGTAAAAAATACATGCATGTTAAAATCTCAACCGTTTTGAAAGAATTTACCTGCAAAATTTGCTATTTCCACGTATTTTTAAAGATTTTTCCCTTTTAGTGACTTCTTACTCTATTGTACTAAATGAATATTTACTACACTGTGGAACGATGTCCCACTACTGTAAAGTTCATTCTATTCTTTTTATGAATATGTTTGAAGTCTAGTTACCGAGAGTCTTAGGACAGACCCTAGGGATCATCAGCAATCTCTGTATCAAGTATAATTAAGCTTCCAGTGATTCTCCATTTTAAAGTTATAGCCCAGACAAGAATTTTATACCTTTTCTGCCGGTGAACTTGAACATGCCGGAATGATCTTGGGTTGTCACGACTTACCTTCGGGTCAATAGCAATCTGTGCCAAGTATGACCTTCCATTAATTCCCCATTACAAAGTTACATCCCATAAAAGAATTTTAAACTTTTTCTGCTAGTGACCTTGAACTTGCCGGAATGACCTTTGGTTACGGTCATGACTTGCCCTCGGGTCAAAAGCAATCTCTGTACCATGTATGAGCTTCCAATGGTTCTTCATTACAAACTTATGGCCCAAGCAAGAATTTTATAGTTTTTCTGCCAGTGACCTTGAACCTGCCGGAATGATCTTCGGTGAAAGTCAAAAAACACCATACTGATGATTCCTGTACCAAGTATGAGCTTCCAGTGTTTCTCCATAACAAAGTTATAGCCCGGACAAGATTGCACAGACAGACGGACAAGGTGATTCCTATATATCCGCCCAAACTTCCTTGAAAGGGGGGGGGGGGAGGGGGTTTAAAGAATCCCTATCAGCCCAGAAATCTGATATGGCTCTTGTGACGTCAGGCATATCGCATATGCAAAAAAACTGTATTTTTATTCTAAGTATGTAAAAAAAATGATATATTGCTACATTAATAATGGAAGTTGACAACAGAAAAGTTGAAATAATGAAGTTTAGTTGTTAGTTTGCCATCAATATCTTTCTCTAGTAAGAGATCCAAACAGAAACAGGTGTGTCAGACACTGTGGTGTCATATTTCGAATTCAGTGGAATTAAAGTATGAATGAAAATGGGTATTATTAATTGATAAGACACCGTCTATATATCTCAAAATCGAATTGATAGCAAGAAACTTCTTTCCAACGGGTCTGCTAATAAAAGGCAGATATAGTACCCTATAAGACTTAACTTTGTTGCTTCTCTCGTTGAAATTACGATGAAATTCAAAAAAAACTTTATCATAATCATCTTCCTTTGCGATTTTAAACGTGTATCCCAGTAAATTTTATTAAAATATGCTGAATAAAAAGAGAAAAGAAAACAGGTTGTTGATAAATATTTTCAATTCAAATGAGACCATAATTAAATAACAAATTAAACAAAGGAACTTGTACATAATGAAGAAATATGCTATGACACATGATTTTCAAGATCTTGTATACATACAAACTGTAGAAATTTTTACAAAAATTACATATATTTAACTAATAACATTTAACATATGCATAATGTTTCATAAATAAAGCTTAAACTGAATGCATCTTTCACAACAGCCACAGAAATGCGTGGAAACAACACAATGGTCTTCGTTAGTTCCTCGTATCGCTCTTCGTAATATTTGTTTTTACACAAGTTGCAAAAATTCGCAGGGAATTTTTGAATAAATATAGAGTACACAAGTAACTTTAAATGAGCAAGGACTTCCCTCGCAAGGAACTCAATATTATCAACCCACGCTTTACCTTACTCTAAATACGTTTTTTTTTTACTTATTGCAGCATAACTGTGCGTACTCTTTAGCTTCTACGATACTTGAAAAATATATCTATTCAGCGAGGCATCTCATTCTGATATACAGTGAGAATTTTAATACATGACACAACATACAGTATTCAATAATTACACACGCGTTAAACGCTTGCTGTTTTTGTAATACGCAAGTTATTGTAATACACAAGTTATCTCCCTTTTCACGCAAAGTTGCCTATTATACATTGAGCATCCTCACAACGTCAGGGGTCCCGAGTCAACAAATTGCCGTTGGTCCAACGGCAACGTGTTGACTCAAGACCCCTGACGTTGTGAGGGTGTACATTGATGGTCTCAAGAATTTCATAACATGATGAAAACATGAATTGTTTAAAAGTGTGATTAATGAATTCAGATTTGTATGATTTAAAATACATAGACCATTCAATATACAACTTTGAATCACTCGAACTGGACAAAAGAATCAGCTTATCATTCAGTTAAACTTTCAAATACTGCATGACCAATAATACAAAAATATGTAGAAAAACCTAACCAAACCCACTGACAATACATCTCCCTTGTTAAGTTCAATATTCATATCAAAATATTTACACCAATGAGTAATCTACAAGACATCTTAGGTAATAAAATAAATTTCGGGAATTTTTTTTTCACACGTTCAGATGAAAAATCAGCCTTTTTTAAAAATCACTTTATCATATCTGTATTATGTAACTCCGAGTGAAAAATGGCAAGGGAAACTAGGATTTTGTGCCTTCTGTCAGCCGTTTGATTGTCAGTAAAGCACCGAATGGTTGACAATAACGTCTAACTGACCTAAACGAAATCACACGGGAGTTGTTCGTCTTATAATTGTTTCAGGCGGAAGTGGAACCGTCATATGTTCTCGAGTATTGTTTTCTCGTACCACGTGATCGCGGTATTCGCGCGGCGCATGCGTATCGACAGTAGTTGATATGGTATTTCTAGACACTTCTCTCGGGAATGTATAGTTCGAGAGTTCATTGGAAGCATTGTCAGATATAGGGGTATATGTATAATAACTATCAGATCGACTCATGGAATGGTCTCTTGAACAGCGCTCCCTGGAGACAGACCTCTCGCGACTGTGATTCGTAGGCTTACGGTATCTCCATCTATTGCTGTGATCGTTTTGTTCTTCTTTTAACATTTGTTGGAGTTTTTTTCTGTGTTTCTGTTTGTAACGAGTGATATACAGATATACTGAAAAAACTCCAGATAACTCTGTAAGAACAAAGGAACAGACTGTCATGATAAAGGAGGCTCCATAATTATATTTGAATTTGACTTTTTCGTCGCCGCTGGGTTTCCCTTTACTGCCAACTTCCTCGGTAATGCTGCCTATGTATAGAATGATGCCAACTAGTGTACACAAACCTAAAAAAATAAAGATGTGTTAGAAAAACACTGATGTCCCTGTATATGTATGGTTAAAGTGTCAAATGCAAGTCAATCTCCAAGGTCAAGGTCATGAGATGAAAAATATTGGTACCCAAAGAAAGGTCTTGCCACTAGGAATATGCCTGTGAAATATGAGAGCCCTAGAACCAACAAATCAGAGGTTATGGCCAAACTTAAAGTTTTTCAAAAGTAGGTTAAAATCCAAGGTAGGTCAAAATTGTTAGTACACAAGGTAAGGCCATGTCACAAGAAATGCACATGTGGCATTTGAAATATGAAAGCCCTGGCTCCAACTGTTGAAAGTTATGCTCAAGGTTTAAGTTTTCCAAAAGTTGGTCTAACTCCAAGGTCAAGGGGGGTCAAAATTGTTTATATGTAATGTAAGGTCTTGTCATAAGAAAGATACCAGTAAAATATGAAAGTCCTAGCAATTTTCATTCAAAAGTTCAGGGCAAAGTTAGAGATTTTCAAAAGTAGGTCAAACTCAAAGGTCAACGTCAGGAGATCAAAAATGTTGGTACCCAAGGGAAGGTCTTGTTACAAGAAATACATCTGTGAGACATGAAAGGTTCAAAAGTTATGGCCAAGGTTAAAATTTAAAAAAAAAGGGTCAAACTCCAAGGTCAAAAATATTTCTACCGAAGTGAAGGTCTAATGACAAGGAACGTACATGTGAAGTAGGAAAGCCCTAGCATGATCCGTTCAAAAGTTGTGGCCGACTAATTAATATGGCTGCTAACTTTTGAATGAAAGAAGATAGGGCATATATATTTGACTTGTGCATTACCTGTTTCAAGACTATTCGAAATGTTGTCTGGATTTGACTTAATGACTTTGACCTTAAAGTTTAACCTTAAGTCTTTTTCATTTTTTTTAAATATTGGTAATAACTTTTAAATCAGAGCAGATAGGACTTTCATACTTTTTATGCACTTTACCTATGATAACACCTTTTAGAAAAAAAATACTATATCATTTCATTACCTTGGCCTAGAAGTTTTACCTACATGTACTTATCAACAATTTTAAATTTGCTCCAGAAGAGACAGGGCTTTCATTTTTTTTTTTCACATTGCATTACTTGTGAATTTTTTTTTTCGGATTGTATCATGATATTTGACCTCATGACCTTGATCTTGAAGTTTGATGCAGTTTTGAGAAGCTTTAATCTTTGCCATAACTGTTATTTATTCAATAATTTATGTCCTTTTTGTATGATGCATAGACAAATCAGGAAACATAAATAAGACAGTTTCAATATGCCATAAATAATTGCATCCCAACCACTAAGACACCGAAAGCAGGGGACCACAATTCTTTCAATTTGCTTGTTTTATTTGCTGATTATAAAATTTTAATATTACCTGCAAGAACAAATAGAATGCCGCAGACAAACGTCAAGTTCTTCCTTCCAGATTTACACTGACCAACAAAACAAATAATGGCTCCAATCAACAGGATGAGGAGGCTCGCCAGAGGAAACCAAGTGGATCTCCGCATCGTCACTGTAAAAGAGGCACATGGCCCTCAAGGCTAACCATACTTACAAAGGAGTGAATTTTTAAAATTCATAATATTGTTGCCATAGATTACTTCAAAGGTTGGGCTTTCATCATGTCTACTTGCATTTAATAAGAGATGTCTTCACATAAATTAGCCAAATTAAGCTTTTGATTATTTTGATTTTTTTTTTGGGGGGGGGGGGGGTATTTTATTTACATATATTTGTAGAATACTTTTCCTTGAAAAATATTTTGAATTTATTTTAATTATCATTTTTGTTCGAATGTACTGATTACAGCAAACTTAATTTACATCACTTGTGGATACTTTCATATCATTTAACAAATTAGAGCCCTTTTTTCTCTTGAGAGAAAAAAAAATGAAAGGAATATTCACTTATACAGCAATATGTAAACTTTGACTTTCAATTTTTGTTTTATGCATTCAAGTTCTAGATGCATTGATACAAACCAACTTTAAATACTAGTATATGAATATGCTTTCGTTCAACTACGAAAATTGTGGGTATAGCTGGCTTTTTAGCAGAAGCAAATTGAAATACATATTCCTAACATACAATAAATTTATTGAAAAAAAATCAAAGGATTATAAAATTATCGACCATGGTCCATATATATATTTCTTATTACTAGTATCCCCTCTTTTTGGAGAGGTTTAACAAAATCTGAATTCCCTCTGTCGAGGATATTTTGCATCGATTATGGTGAACAAAAGGACGTTAAATACGAAAGCGTATTAGTGCCACGTAATATTTTTTAAAGTTGGTAATTTCAACTTTAAAGTTGGCTTTTTCAACTTTAACCTTGGCTTTTCCAACTTAAAAGTTCGTAATTCCAACTTTAATCTTTGCTTTTTTAACTTTAGTTGGTAATTCCAACTTTAATCTTGGCTTTTCCAACTTTAAAGTTTGCTTTTCCTCTTTAAAGTTCCAACTTTAATCTTGGCTTTTCCAACTTTAAAGTTTGCTTTTCCCTCTTTAAAGTTGATAATTCCAACTTTAATCTTGGCTTATCAAACTTTAAAGTTGGTAATTCCGACTTTAATCTTGTCTTTTCCAACTTTAAAGTTGGTAATTTCAACTTTTCCTTCAACTTTACCAATTAAAAAAAAATACGTGGCAAATACGCTTCCGTAGTTAATAGACGGCGAGACGACATACAACCTTCAATAAAAAAGCTCATCTATGCTTTTAGCGAATGTGAGCTAATACATGTGCTCTAAAAAATTGCTATTGAAATTAAAGTAAAAAAGTTTAGAAATTTCTTTTTTAATAGAAATTCTTATAAAGTCATTTCAGTAGTATATTGAAGCTTAACTTTTGATGTCCTTTAAGAAAATGCTCTGCATTTGATGCCAGATAAATTTACGAATAAACTATCTAAGTATTTTTAAGAACATTCTGATACTGAACTCCAGAATTATAATGGGGTTAGGGATCTCCGTAAATCATTTTATTCTATGGATATTCCTGCACATGATTTTGAGGAGGTATACAGAATTGATAAAACTCTCCATTTTTTTAAGGTAACCTTACAAGAAAGGTTATGGAAAAGTCGAGCAAGGCCCCTAATTATAAAAATGCACCGAGAAAGATTGAAATCATTCATTCTCTTCCTGCCTGTGAAATAATCTGTTGTAAAAAAAACTTTCCAGTTTGCGTCACCGCGACAATATGAATTATTGGTAATATCTTGTTTTGTTATGACAAACCATTAAAAGTTTAGCTTCAGATAGTTCAAACAATTTCTTTAATTACAAAACCCATTTTATTCTGTAATTTGTTGCGTAATAGTCCGCAAGTCTTCCTTGTTTTAAATTGATTTTTTTCCTCAAAAGTACACATTTAATTGCACTCATTGTGGTCTGCATCACCGAGGAACTTCAGCAATTCAGCAAGTACATAACTCACCGAAGACGGTGGGACCATTTCCTGATAATACGGGAAACCAAAAATAAAGCATTTATATACTTGAGTGAGTGTCTGAAGGGCAGGAAAAAGGATTCTTATATATACATACAGCATTGAAGCTTGTGCAAGAAAGTAGGCTACATATATGTTTGGCCAATAGGTTGCACTATTAAGAAATATCTTGTACATGACATGCACTTTCCATTTTAAAGAACCCCGGTGCAGGTAAGAAACAGTTGAATTAAGTATTTTGCAAAATGCATACCCTTTTTTCGCGTGCGAGAATTTTTTCAAAAGGGGGGTAGTTTCTTGAATCATCTGGTTTACTTTATCATTTGTAGCAAAAAAGTTTCTGATGTCGAAAAAATTTGGTATAAATTATGGTCAAACCATGGCATCGAAGGATGAAGATAAAAAATCTCACACAATATTGCCTGCGTTTGTGGTAAGCCCTCTTTCTCGTCGCTTGGGGTGAAATACATGATGTAATTGCAATCCATTTTTGTTGGAAAATAGCCTGGAAAGAGAATAACATACATTCTTACTTAAATGCTATAAAACGAATCTGCATAAGTTTATAGTTTCAGAAAAGAATTGATTCCTGTGATGACAATCAATTCCTGTCATGACCTATTTAAAAACAGAATTACGTGTTAATGGAGGTAAAGAATGTTTTTAGGCCTGTTTGCCATAAAAGAGTTTCAAAATAATTTCACAACAATCAAAACGGTAACAACATGTATTTTGAAAAAAAGAAGTTACATACATGTATGCTGGAAAATTTTCGGACTGTTATTCTAATCCAAAGCACTTGAGGGAACACACTCTTTTAAGCATGTTCAATGACTTTTTGCCTTTTTTTTTAAAATTATCAACCCAGTTTAAATTTTCCATGAGGGCTGGGAACGGTCTGTACCAGATTAAAATGAGTTGGGGTAGGGTAATTTAAAATTTCCAACCTGCTGTGTACCTATTCTTTGAAACAATATCAAATACATGTATGATATTTATTTTAATCAAATATTAAGTATCGTTCATCAGGTAAAACATCCAATTTCATCTGCGAGTCAATGCATTGGAACAACTAAAAAAAAAATAAAATGGAACACGAAAATATTGGTCAATGATTTATAATTTGGAAATTGAGCTTTCTGACGCATATTGGACTAATTGACAATAAACAATTATTCAAATTTTATACAAAAAAAAACTTCAACAAAAGTTAATGAAAGTACATATCCTTAAGTTCAAAATCCATAATCTCAAAGTAGGGAGTACATGTATTTGATGAATGACAAGTGTTTCCAGAAAAACAGAAATGTACCACAACTCTCACAAGAATTTAAAAAAAAAAAAACATTGATCATTTTTTAGCTATGTGAAAAAAGTACTTGATTCTGGAAATCTTAATTTAAGTCGGAAGTTAAAACTGCAGATTATCCATGTTTTTCTTTTAAATATTCAAAATATTTCTGATATTGTGGTTCAAATGGTCCAATCCTAGCTCCATGGCTCATGTTCTGAACAGATTTAAATGAATACAACATAGTGATGCTTGCATTTCAATGTGGTCCTGCTGTTATGGAGTTACAAATGCGATTTCCTGTGTAAAATCCTCTGTAAAACTTTGAACCCCTATTGTGACCACATCTTAGCCCCATGGACATAGAGTTGAACTTGAAACAACATTAAAGGTCGATTCTTGCAGATTAACATAATTAATTGTGACCGGAATAAGATTTTTCAGGATTTTTAAAAATATATCTCGATGTAAAAACTTTACTCCCAATGTGTCTCTACCTTAGCCCTTCTTTGATTTGTTCATTTCTGTAAATATTCAGACTTTTAAGAAGCAGATTTTGGAAATTCAGTATGTTTAATAATTTTTGTTCAAGTATCATATTTGCAAAAGTGTAAAATACCCCCCCCCCCCCCCGAATAGTAAATCCAGATGTTTCAATATGACATTATTCGTCACAAAGTAAAATTTATATTTACTACCTTCCAGAGAATTTGTACTTTTTGTATGACACAATCTTCAATTTTTCCAGGTTTTTAAAATCGAGTGATACGGCTTAAAAACTCATCACTGTTATTACATTTAAAAGTTCAAAATACTTTCAAACACCAAAATTTATTATTGATTATAAGCTTTATAGTTTAGTCTTCAGAGAATAGGCTTTAAAATTATTATTTAGTTCCATTGAACTCGAAATAAAGGTCACAAAAGACTCTAACACATCTGTTTCATGTTTGGATGTTTTGCTAGAGAAAGATGAACTGACAACTGAACTTTATGATAAATGTGATAATTACAACTTTTCTATAGTCAACTTCTCTTGTTTATGTGGCAATGAACCATTGTCAGCTGAATATGGATTTTGTGTCTTCTGGTTAATTCGATACGCAAGAGCATGTTCTACTTATGAACTTTTCTAAAACAAGGTAGACTATTGACAAATAAGTTGATGATAAAGGATATCAATAATGTCGTTTAAAGTCAACATTTCGCAAATTCCGTGATCGATACAGTGACCTTATTTGTAAATACGATCTGTCGTTGGATCGAATGTTGACTAACGTCTTTCATACAGATTGTTAGGTCATCATTTTCACTCTGAATTGTCTACAGATTCTTCCGTTTACCAGATCATGACAAGGAGCACATGGCGGATGTGCCCGGTCAGCAGGAGATGCTTACTACTCCGTGGCACCTGATCCCACCACCTCTGTTTTCAGGAGTCCGTGTTGTCTGTGCTCACAATATGTATTGTTAAAATGGACTTTTGAGAATGATCACTGTTCGTTATCTTCACATTTAAGTGATATAAAAATCAAATTCATATTTGCAAAAAGTTATACTGACTGAGGTCTTTCTACATAAACTTAGCAATCAGTTTCGTCATCCGAAACAGTGAGCATAAAATTTTGAAAAAAAAAATGTTACAAGTGACACTTGGTAAGGGGAACATGTGTTACAACGTGAAATGTAATAACAACGCAAAATGTAATAAACTGAGATTATTACATTTTGCGTTATTACATTTTGCGTCGAGATCAACACAGAATGTAATAACGTAAAATGTAATGACACGATTTTTGGATTATTACATTTTGCGTTATTACATTTAATTTTGTGTTGGGATTAATGTAAAACGTAATAATGTACTTTTTGGTTGTTACATTTTGCGTTACTTAATTTTTGCGTTGTCCTCAACGCAAAATGTAATAAAATAAAATGTAATAAAACAGCACAAAATTGATTTAAACACATAAGAATGGGGAAACTCGCTTTACTAAATAGACAGACAGACCTATGACTATGAAACAAACGTTACGGCTTTTACGGACATTACTGAATCTTATTGTATATTTTTTTTAAACTTTGTTTCTAACATTTTTATTGAATACATATAAAATATTAACTTAAATTTGATTGACATGTCTATTTATAAATCGGTCTGTATTATATATCCATCACTGACATTCCACATTACCAAAGATTGACCATGGGTCCATTAAAAGCTTTTGGTATGCATGTACAACGTGCATGTGTACATTGGTTAGCAAATTAGAAGTGCATGTGTGTGTGTCTGGCGAGGAGAAGCGGGGGGGGGGGGGGTAACTTTGTATGTTGATCATTGTATTTTAATGCTCATGCAGAAACTATCCATTTTATTATTGAAGAGAGAGACTGAAAGAGAGGGAATTTTATTTTTGCCGTTCTGCAATGCACGTGATTTGTAAAACAATATGAAATCTTAATTGTCAAGAAACCCTCTTCCCGCTATATTTACACCTGCCATTAAAAATAAAAAGATTTCTAAATTTCATGCATGTGCCTATCAAAATGCAAAAGCAAACTGATAAACTGATCAACGAAATAAACACACCCCACCCACCCACTCACACACGTGCGCACGCCCGTTTCTAATTTGTGATACCTATGATTTGAATATCAACTGATTTTTAAATGGCTAATGAAATCAATATATGATGAAATCAGATCTAATGTAAGAAAAAGCATATGTTTATTCTTCCTTTTGTTTTATTTTCTTACCGTTTAATTTCTTCATTAACTACTGAATTAAAAATTATTCTCAACTTGACTGACCAAAAAGTGTGTTATTACATTTTATTTTGTTGCATTTTGCTTAATTTCGACGCAAAATGTAACAACGCAGAATGTAATAATCCAAAAATCGTTTATCACATTTTGCGTTATTACATTTTGCGTTGATCTCGACGCAAAATGTAATAATCCTAAAAAGTCTGTTTTTACATTTTGCATTAATACATTCTGCGTTGATATCGACGCAAAAGGTAATAACACAAAATGCAATAATCCCGGTTTATTACATTTTGCGTTGTTATTACATTTCGCGTTGTAACAAACGTGAATGGTGACAATTTTCTAGTACTGTATATACTCGTTTTTTATATTCCAATGCTGGCATACTTAGAAATTCTTCATAATAAACCATTATTCAGTTCTGTACATTAAAGCTGTTCTAAAATGTAGTATTTGATCAATAGTGAAAGGAAGTACATGTAGAAAACTTATTCAAGGTACCCTCAGACGACTACGTGTACAGCTGGTGTTAAACCCGATGCATTATGTACAAGCAAATGAAGAAACTCGTCTACTGCAAATTACCAGAACACTTTCTTCACTCAGTCTCCATTAATGTTTGATATAAAAGAGGCAACAATTCTTCGACTTCGTAGGGTTTAAATTACAAAATGTTGAATTAATAAGGACACTGCAAATTTGAACAGAGCATTCCCCTGATATTTCACTACAGGGACACATTGCTTTTTCAAATATTGATATATTGATCGCAATATCATCAACACTTTTTAATCCTTTAATTATGTATAAACTAATTACTAAAGCCTACCACTGGCTTCGACACTGACACACTGCCTCTTTGTACTACCAATGTTTCATTACATGAACCACCGAGTTCCCTCCTTTAGCCACTTTTTATTACCATCTACTGTACTCATAAGATAAAATATAGATAATTCGCACGGACCAGCAAGGTTAGTTATCCTTGTAACTTTGTTTCGAGGGGATGGCCAAGTCAGGTAATGAAATAGCTTTTCAGCAAAGCAGTGTCAAAGCACATTCTACTTATCTGTAACTATGCAACTAATAAATATACACAGAAAAAATAGTTAGGCAAACCACACAGTAAATTTTAAGTATATGAAAAGTACAAATTGAGTCTCTTCATCTTACGAAAAAAGAACAAACATATAAACAGTCAAGGGGACTGAAATGCGAACAAGTACTAAATATCTAAATTTCTCTGTTTTTTTCTTTATCTTACAGCAATGAAGATAATTGTAGAATAAAAATTGAATTGAAAGCGTACAAAAATCTTTAATGTCGTTAGATTATGTGTGTATCTTCTAAAATACAACATATGATGCATTAAAAAAGGACAATGAGATAAGACACGAAAATGGTTTTTCCTTTGAATCATAATCTTGAAAACATCTATGCAAAAT